CAAGCTCCCCTGCGCAGCCTTCCCGAGCTGGGAGGAGCGACCCCGGCCTCGACCTCCGCGGCCGCGGCCCCTGGTCGAAGCTGGCGGCGGCGATGCCGACAGCGTGGGCTGCGCCTGCAAGCGGCGGCGCTTGGCCGCGGCGGCCTCGTCCGCCGCGGGCTGGCGCTGGGCCGCCTTCTTCGCCATCTCTGGAGCTCCCGAGAGGGGGCGCGGTGCTCGGAGGAGAGGGAGCGAATTCTCGACAAGAGAAGGCTGCTGCAAGGGGGATGGTTGCAATGACACACGTCGCACGCTCGTGCTCCTCCCTCTCTTCTTCTTCCTTGTCCTTGTCCTCCTCATCCCCCTCCTTGCCCTCCCATTTCTCTGTGCCCCGCGCCCATTAACGGGAACGACCACGCGGTCTACGTGCTTCCCTGTGCTCTACGCTGCCGCGAGTGTCTAAACATGCCACGGACCATTGTTCCGAAATCCAGCAATTCTGATTGATATACTGTATTAATTAATTATTGAAAAAATAGTATTTTTTGTCATTTTGTTTTTGGAATTGTTGGTATTTTTTCGCAGAATTGTTGGTGCCAGATCGCCGAAACCCTCCGACTGTGAAGCGCGGGGCCCCTCAACACATGGGGCTCCCGGGGGGCCTCGTCGGGGCCTGCTGGCAGTCTCGGAGGCTCTCGGGGGAGCCACGGGCCGTCTTCGGGGGCCTCTTGGGCCGTCTCGGGGCCCTCCTGGGAGGTCTGGGGGCCGTCTCGGTGCCTGCCGTGCCGCCTCGGGGCGATGCTGTGGGCCCCTTGGGCCGTCCTGCAGCGTGGGAAGCGCCAGAAGGCGAGAGATCAGAATACGTCAAGCGCCCGAGGAACATCGCCTGGCGAAGAACCCACTCCTTGCCCGAAGCGACGCGACTGCAAACAAGACCACTCCACGCACGAAGGCACACCGAGGGGTGTGCCGGAGGCGCGCGGCGGCGCCGTGCGAACGCACTGGCTGGTGCCCCAGGTGGAGCTCGCAGGGGGGCAGGACGCGTGAGGGGCGTGCCGAAATGGGCGCGGCAGCGCCATGCGAACGTACGTTTTGATGCCCTAGCTGGAGCTTTACCGTTGTAGGCAGGAGACGCACGAGGGGCGACCAGCGCCATGCGAACGCACCCGCTGAGGCCCCAGATAGAGCTCCCTGGGGGGGGCTGTAGGACAAACGCGTGAAAAGTGTGTCGACATGGTCAGGGCAGCACCATGCGAACGCAACCTCCAGTGGAGCTCACTGCGTGGCACGATCCTCGTGAGAGGTATGCCGAAATCTGTGCGGCGGCGCCCTGCGAACGCACCCAGTGGGGCCCTAGGTGGAGATCCCTGGGAAATGTGCGAGTAGTCAGCCGAAATGGGCGCAACGGCGCCATGCGAACGCACCCACTGAGGCCCTAGGTGGAGCTCCTGGGGGGGCAGGACAAGCGTGAGGAGTTCCGAAGTGGGCGCGGCGGCGCCATACGAACGCACCCGTTTCGGGTTCTAAACTGCGCTCCCTGAGAAAGGCTGGAACCGTACGAGGGGCCTGCCGACATGGGCGCTGCGGCGCCATGCGAACACACACCCACTGGGGCCCTAGGTGGAGCCCCGTGGGGGGGGACAGGAAACGTGTGAAAGGTACTCCAAAATCGGCGCGGCGGCGCCACACAAACGCTACCAATGGGGTCCTAGCTGGGGCTCCGTGCGGGGGACGCTCCGGGTAAGGGGTGTGCCGTGGGCGCGGCGGCGCCATACAAACGCACCCACCGAGGTCCTAAGAGGAGCTCCCTGGTAGGCAGGGAACGTGTGAGGGTTGGGTTGGAGTGGACGCGGCGGCGCCATGCGAACGCACCAACTAAGGCCATAGGTAGAGCCCCATGTTGGGTAGGGAACGTTTGAGGGGCGTGCCGACACGGGCGCTGCGGCGCCATGCGAACATACACCCACTGGGGCCCTGGGTGGAGCCCCCTAAGAGGGACAGCAAACGCGCGAAGGGCGTGCCGACACGGGCGCGGCGGCGCTATGCGAACGCACTGACTGGTGCTCTAACTGGAGTTCCGTGCGGGGCAGGAAAGGAACGTGCGACAGGTGTGCCGAAATTGCTGCGGCGGCGCCATGCGAAATCAAGGGGCTCTCGGGAGCTTCCAGAAATGGGGGGGCAAGACAAGCGCGAGGGGCTTATGGATTCAAACAATGCCTCCTCGACACTCAGGAATCATGCTCTCCTTTCGAATTTCCGCATGATTTATTTGTGAAGCGAGATGTCGCTAGAAGCTTCTTCGCGATTTATGCAAAACGCACGCTTCAGCAACCCGCCTGCTTGACTAAGCCGCCTGGGCCCGCCTTCCAGACCCGCCGGTTAGGGTCTACCCACCCGATCTGCCCATCTAGTTATGCCACGTGTTTTCTGTTCCTAGCCCTCCTCCTGATACTCTCTATCTCTCTCGTGTTCCATCCTGCTCCTTCCTCGTTGTCCCTTCCGTCCATCCGTCCTCTCTTCCCCTGCCTTTGGGGCTGCACGAAATACACGTTGCAGGTAAGAGAGACATATACCCCACAAAGGCGGTACGATCGAAAACTAAGAGGGCAGGCATCGAGGGCTTGGGATATACATGTTGACTGGCCCGCGAGCAGATCAGAACGAACAGTCTTACAATGATTGTGGGTATGGTTGTTGTTGATGCTGCTGTTGTTGTTATTGAACTCTGACGGCTGAAGAATAAATGATGTTGACCCCCCCCGAAAGTGCCCCATGAAAGTGCCCCTCCCGGGGCTCGCATCCTGTTTTCCAGCCAGGGATAATCTTGAACCTCAAACTGGGCGGCGGGCCCCCGAGTTACAGCAATAACGGCTCCCGCCTGGCACTTCCTCGCAATTGATTCCCAAACCGCGCTCTCGCGCGGGACTGCCTCACAATGTATGCAGGAATCGCGGTCTCGCGTGGGATGTCCTCTCAGTTCCTTCAGACTCCGCGCCCTCGGCACTCAGGAATCGCGCTCTTGCTGTGGATGTCCTCACGATGAGATTGGGAATCGCGCTGTCGCTCGAGGCTTCCTCGCGATTCATGAAAGCCGCACGTTTCAGCAACCCGCCTGCTCGCCCTGGCGGCCTGGGCCCACCTTCCAGACCCGCCTGTTAGGGTCTACCCACCCGATGTACCCGTCTAGTTATGCCACGTGTTTTCTGTTCCTAGTCCCCCTTCTGCTACTCTCTCTCGTGCTCCATCCTTCTCCTTCCTCCTCGTCCCTTCCTTCCATCCGTCCTCGCTTCCCCTGCCTTATGGGTCGCACGAAATACGCGTTGCAGATAAAATAAATCTACCCCCAAGGGGGTACGATCGAAGACGAAGAAGGCGGGTCTCGCGGGTTCGGGATACACGTCTTGACTGGCCCACGAAAAGATAAGAGCGAAAACTATTAAAATGACTGTTGTTGTTGGTGGTGTTGTTGGTGTTGTTGGTGTTGTTGGTGCTGTTGTTGTTGTTGTTGCTGTTAGTGGTGTTGTGTTTGCTCTTGTTGCTATTGTTGTTGGTGTTGCTGTTTTTGAATACTCATTTACACAAAATGTTGCTGATCTCTGAAAAAGGTTCCGCGCGCTCCCGCCTCGACGCTGGCCACATGTACTTTGAAAGCGAGGCTCCCGCGCGAGAAGTGGCTTGAGTGTAAAAGTGTGCCCTTCGAGGCCTGGCTACGACGACAACGGCTGCCGCTCGATACCTCCGCGTAATTTACCCCGGGACACCCTGGCCAGAGAGGCCACCGATCTCAGGAACGGCGCTCTCGCTGGAGACTTGCTCGCAATTCAATCAAGTTGGCGGAGGCCCAGCCACGACGGCAAAGGCTCCGGCTCGATACTTCCTCACGGTTTAATCCGAGAATCCCTGGCCAAGAAGGCCCGCGAACTCAGGAACGGCGCTCTCGCTCGAGACTTTCTCGCGATTCAATCAAATTGGTGGAGGCCCAACTACAACAGCAAGGGCTCTCGTTCGATACTTCCTCAATCTGTATTCGCAGAAGCCCTTGTCAGAAAGGCCCCCGAATTCAAGAGTGGCGCTCTCGCTCAAGATTTTCTCGCAAATCAAACAAATTTGTGAGGCCCAGATGAGGCGATAAGGGTTCCCGTTCGATATTTCCCAATCTGTTTCCGGAAAGCCTCTGGCCTGGCAGAGAGGCCCCCGAACTCAGGAAGGGCGCTCTCGCTAGAGAGTTTCTCGCACTTCAGTCAGTGGCCGACAAGGAAGATAGTCCCCATGAAAGGGGGTGCGATCGAAGACGAAGTGGGCGGGTATCGAGGGCTGGGGTATACAGAATGCAAAACACGCGTGCCAGTAAGAGCGAACAGTCTCAAACTGATTGTTGTTGATGTTGATGTTGATGTTGATGTTGATGTTGTTGTTGTTGGTGGTGGTGGTGTTGTTGTTGCTGCTGCTGGTGTTGTTGTTGTTGTTGCTGTTGTTGGTGTTGTTGTTGTTGGTGTTGTTGTTGTTGTTGTTGTTGTTGTTGTTGTTGTTGTTTGGGGGCCCGTTTGGGCGCAACCCCGAAACGGCTGAGCGTGAGCCTCACATTCAAAGGAAATGGTGCCGGCGTGGAGGCGAGGGCGCCCAAAGCACATGTGGGGGTCCCACAATAATTTTTGCTGACGAAGTAAATCGCAACGCAACGGTATTCCGCACCGCGATACCCCACTGCAGCCCAGCGCAGGGACAGTGTATGACCGTTCGGCACTCTCAGTATGATAATTCTCTTGGGGGGGCCTCTTGGAGCCTTCTTGGGCTGTCTTGAGGCCCTGTTGGGCGGTCTGGAGGCCCGATTGGCGACCTCTTGGACCGTCTGGAAGCGTTTCGGGCAACCTTGGACCGTCTGGGGCATTCTTGGGCCGTCTTGGAACGCCGCGTGGGGGCTCGGGAACGCGCCAAGGCCGGCCAGGCCGATTTCAGGGCACTTGGACAGCCCGCCTTCCCGCAAGCCGTGCCACCCGCCATAGAATGATTAGATTGATGACGTTGGGCTGCACCTTCGCCTCCCGCATCTCGCTGAGCAGCGCCAGAGCCCGCTGCCACTGCGCGGCCTTCTCGCAAGCGCTGATCCCAGCGCTGTAGATAACGACGTCGGGCTCCAGCTTCGCTTCCCACATCTCGCTGAGTAGAGCCAGCGCCCGCTGCCACTGCGCGCTCTTATCGCACGTACTAATCCCAGCGCTGTAACTGATGACGTCGGGCTCCATTTTCACTTCCCTCATCTCTCTGAGAAGATGTACGGCCTTTTGCCACTGCGCGGCCTTCTCGCACGCGCTGATCCCAGAATTGTAAATGATGACGTCGGGCTCCAGCTGCGCCTCCCACATCTCGCTGAGTAGGGCCAACGCCCGCTGCCACTGCGAGCCCTTGTCGCACGTGCTGATCCCAGCGCTATAGCTGATGACGTCGAGCTCTGTATTCGCCCCCCGCATCTCTTCGAGTAACAATATGGCCTGTTGCCATTGCGCGGCCTTCTGGCACGCGCTGATCCCAACATTGTAACTGACTAGGGCTGACCCGTGGACTCCGTCCACCACATCTTTCTGGGATGGTTCTCGGAGGAACGGCGGAGATTTTTGCCGAAAACATACAAGCACGGCGGCGGCCGGGGCGGCGGCAGCGAAACCGCGCCTTCGTGTCCGAGCTCTTGCAGCGCTCCAGCAGCTTGGCCCCAGCGCACGGCTCCTTCGCCCCCCTCCCATTGGGGACAATTTTGAAGTCTCTCGAGGATGTGCGCAAAAGTCGAAGCCCATCTGAGGCGTCCCAGGAGCGACTGGAGAAGGGCTCGGGATGCCCTCGGGAAAAGCCACTGGGAGCGCCGGGGAGGCTCGCAAGGATCTCCGGGGAGAGCCCAAGAGAGCTTCAAGAGGGCGTGACATTCAAGAACATCTTAACAAAAACCGCTGTTGGGTCGAACGCGCTGTCTTGTTAGATTGTTGTTATGGAGTCCCTCTGGGGCGCCTCAGGGGTGCCTGTCTGGGCGGCCGAGGGGCTTGCAGAGCGGCTCTTTGAGCCCACCCTCTCTATCAGGGACAAGTTTGACGTCTCTCGGACATGTGCGCCATACTCGAAACCCATCTGAGGCGTCTTAGGAGCGAATCGGGAAGGGCTCGGGAAGCTCTTGGGGAACGCCACATGGAACGTTGGGGAGCCTCGGAAGGATCTCCGGGGAGGGCCCGAGAGAGCTCCTGGGCATAACATTTGACGACATTTTAACAACTGCTGTTGGGTCGGACGTGCTTCGCTGCGTTGGGGAGGCCGTTCAATTGGAGTGCCGTTGAAGCCGAAGCTCTCTCGGGCGTGTCAGGAGCGCTGGCCCCCCCCCTCTCTTGGAGGCAGTCTTGAAGCCTCTCTGGGCCTCCTGGGGGGGTGAGGGGCTCTCAGGTCCTCGTGTGGGCCTCTTCGCAACTTGTTGGGGCCCGCTTCGGCCGTCCGGGCTCTTGGGCCGTCGTAGGGCCACGCTCAAAGCTCCGTACATCATCTGGACCCTCATGAGGCTCTCTTCTTGGCCTTCTCGGAGTTCCTCCTCCTCCTTCTCCTGCTCCTCCGCCTCCGCCTCCGCCTCCTCCTCCTCCTCCTCCTCCTCCTCCTCCTCCTCCTCCTCCTCTACCTCCGCCTTCTTGCCTCGATGCTGCATGCTCTGGACCTTGGATCGTCAATCGTAGACCCTCGAAACACGGAAAACGGCTGTTCGGGGCCTGCGTTCTGCCTCTGACCTCTCGTCCGCGCCCCCCTCTGTTGGAGGGATTTTTGTTACCACTGGGGACCTCTTGGGGGCCTTGTGGGGGCCTCTGGGGGCCTCTTTTCGGCTTCGGGGAGGGCCTCTGGGGGCCCTCTGGGCTTCTCATCGATGCCGGTTGGGCCGCCTCGGAACCGATATGGGCCGTGGTGAACGCCTCTTGAACCAAAAGGTGCCGCTACCGCTACTCCCTGGACCCCTCCTGGGGTGCGTTCCGACCAGGATTTCGGGGCGAATCCAGGGGGGGCGACGGCGGAGACCCAGGAGGCCAAAAAAAAAATAGGACAACGGGGTGAGAGCAGAGGTATGGGTGCCTGTTCCTCCTCGGACTCGCGGGCCGTCTGTGGGCCGTCGTGGGCCGTCTTGGGCGGCTCTTGAGGCTGTGCTGGGTGCCGTCTTGGAGCCCTTTCGGGGGCCGTCGTGGGCCGTGTCTTGGGCGCCTGGTGCGCCGTGCTCGGGCCGTCATTGGGCCGTCTTTGGGGCCGCCTTTGAAGCTGTCTTTGGGTGCCTCGCGGCCCGTCTCGGGCGCCTCTTGTCGGGGAGACGTAAGACCCGGGTACGGGGGACTCGGAAATCCCCGACGAGGTCGTCAAAAAAATGACGAGGCCGAGCCTGCATTTTGACGAGGCCTCCCGCTGCAGACATCCCACGAAACTCTTCCTCGTCAAAATCCGAGGCGCGGTCGTCAAAAAACGATGGCGAACCCGAGTCCCGGCAAACCCGGGTCTTACGCTCCCCCGATCTTGGGCCGTCCTGGGCCCGTCCTGCGGGCCTGAGAGGGCAGAGAATCCACCCCCAGAATCATCACCCCGGCACACGAAGCCGTTTAGCAAACGCGCTCAAAGAAGGAATCGAACGGGGCAGGGCTGTTTAGTAAACGCCCAGGGCCGTTTAGTAAACGCCAATTGTCCGGTCCGGGTGGGTTTTCCCCCCTTGATGATAAAGGCATTTGGGGCCGATCTTGGAGAGCTCGGTGGCCGTCGTGGACGCGCCGGAGACGAAGAGCACGAGAATGCCAAACATGATGGGACGATGTTTGCGTCTCGGGGCTGTCCTGGGGAATCCTCGAGGGCCGTTTTTGGAGGCGCCTGGCCTGCCCTGGGGGCCCTTAGGGCCGTCGGGGTGGCCTCTGGAGCGGCTCGGAGCTGTCTTGGGGTCGTCGGGGCGCCCTCCTGAGCGGTCCGGAGCCGTCTTTGTGCCGTCGAGGCGGCCTCTGGAGCGTCTCGGAGCCGTCGTGGCGCCGTCGTGGTGCCGTCGAGCCGCTGGAAGGCACTCAATGCGGAAACCCTTCTCGCACACAGTGTTCCCGGTACTGTAGGAGAGACTAGGGCTGACCCGTTGCCAACTGGTCACGAAATCTGTCCGAGATGGCACGTTGGACCAGGGCAGAGATGTTGCCTCAAGGCTTTCGTGATGACGTTGGGCCCGAACTTCGCCTCTGCTGCTGCTGCATGCAACTGAAGGGTGCTGCTGCCAGCGGCATGCTGTTGCTGCTTACTTTTGCTGTGCTGCCGTTGCCAGCTGCGGACTGATGGTGTTCGCTGTTGCTGCTTGAGGCTGAAGCGTGCTGCTGCTTGGTACCTTTGCTAGATGGCGGATTCCAGAAACCCTGAACCCAACAACGTGTTCATCTCTTGGGGGCGCATCTTTTACTTCCGCCGCCTTCCGCCAGCCTTACGCCGGTTGTGGCGGCCTCGTTTTACTTCCGCCGACCTTCCGCCGCCTTCCGCCGAGGAAGAGATGGCAACTCTTTCGATCCTCGAAGTCAAGGCCATCTCTGAACGCCTCAGATGATGCAACCTGCAGCTCGTGAGTGATCCGAGGAGCGAGGAGCAAGGCGCGATGAGTCAGGGTCGAGGGGCGGGGAGGCGAGGAACGATTAGCGAGGAGCACGGAGCGAAAAGGGAGGAGAGAAGGCCGAGGAGAGAGAAAGGCCAGGAGGGAGGAGGGGGGGCCGAAGAGGAGGGGCGGGCAGACGCCGGTAGCCAGGAGGGGGAAGCGAGGGGCCAGGAGAGAGGCAGAAAAAAGAAGTGGAGCGATAAGAGAGGAGCCAGCAGCGAGAAGAGGGAGGTGAGGGACGGTGAGGGAGCGGGGCGGAGCGAGGAGCAAGGAGCGAGAAGGAAGGCATGAGACGAGGCCAGCACACGCACGTCTCAATTGCCTCGGCGCGCGTGTGGCCGAACATCTGGTGTCGTTCACGATCATGGGGTTTTCTTGTGTGGCCGGCGCGGTCACAAAACTCTCCCATGGATCCTGTCTCGGAGGCCTCTTCGAAGCGGTTGTTGATGTGTCGTGGGGCCTCTCTGGGCCCTCTTGAGGGCTTCGTGAGGCCCGTTTTAGACGTCGTGGAGGCGTCCTGTGGCTGCTGGGGAGCCTCTTGGGGGCCAGCTGGTGGTCGCTGGGGTCAGCGTGGGGCGAAGGGCGCGACATGTCAGTGCAAGTTCCCCCTCTTGTGGCTCGCTTTTGCAGTCGTGAGCGCCACCTTGGCCGTCCTGGGGCTCTCATGGGGGTCTCCGAGGCTGTGTTGGGGGAATTATAGAGGTCAAAGAATCCACCCCCATAATAACCACCCCGACACGCGAAGTCGTTTAGTAAAAGCCCTCCAAGAAGGAATCGAACAGGGCAGGGCTGTTCAGTAAACGCCCAGGGCCGTTTAGTGAACGCGAATTGTCCAGTCCGGGTGGTTTCTCCCCTCTTGAAATTCGGGGGGCACCAGGGACTGCTGAAACGCTGCGAAGACGAAACCACTAATGTGCAATTACTCGACGCGGAGATCCCCAAATGTGCATCTCATGTTCCTGGCACGCCTCGCTGGAGGTGCTCCGTGGTGCGAGTGCTATGGTGTGAGAGCGAATCTGCGTACACGACGGGCGCGACAACGACGACGACGGCGACGACTTCCGTGGCGTCCTCCTCCCGCGGACATCTTGCGGGAGAGGCGGGGGAGCACACCCGTCCTCGCTGCGGCAGCTCAGGCCCGAGTAGACATGATGGCGCCCCTCCCCTTCACTGGGGTGCCAAAGTGCAACGCCTGCTGTATCGCGGTGAGCATTGGACCGCCAAGCGACAGAAACGTCTGTGGAGACGAAACGGGCAAACCGCTGGAGACGTTACTGCAATCTGGGCGCAAATTCCTGGAGTGCCCCCGCCCCTGGCGCCCCCCCCCCCCCCCACCTGGGCTGCCCAAGTGCAGCGCCTGCTATTTCGCGGTGAAGCTGATCTCCAAAGGAAGCAAAGCTGGGGGGCAGAAACGATAACCCGCCCGAGACATCCCCGCAATCTGGGAGCGACTCCTGGGGTGCTCCACCTCCGGCGGTCCCCCTTGGGGGGTGCCCAAGTGCACGCCTGCTATACCGCGGTGCGCCCTGGACGACCAGCAGAGACAAGCCTGGAGGGGGGGGGGGCGCCAAAACAAGCAAACCGCCCGAGATATGGTATCCCCACAGTCTCGGCGCGAATCCTGGAAGGTGCCCACCCCTGGCGGCTCCTCCTCGGGGTGCCCCAGTGCCACGCCTGCTGCACTGCGGTGGACCAAAGAAGAACAAGTCTGCATAGGGGGCAACGGCAACCGCCTGAGACAGATCCCAATCTGAGCGCGACTCCTGGAATGCCCCCACCCCCGGTGGCTCCCCCTTGGGGTGCCTAAGTGCCACGCCTGTTTTACCGTGGAGGGCACTGGACCACCACAGGATGGAAGTCTGGGAGGCAGAAATAAGCAAACCGCCTGAGCTACCCCACAATCTGGGCGCAAACCCTGGAGTATGCCTGCCCATCGCAGCTCCGAGTCTGCGGAAGGGAGGCCCTGAGTATGAACAAGTTTGGGTATGAATGTACCTGGGCATGGGTGGATGTGACTGTGATGTATATTATACTTTGGCCTGGGTGAGGAAAACTATACCCTGATAACGAGTGAATCGAAGTATGCTTGATTCCGCTTATGACTGAGTCCGAATGTGATGTGAGTGAGGGAGGAACATGAGTGAACTAACCATGAGCTGGGCGTGAATTATCTGAATCTGAATGCGCGAACGATCTGAGTGAGGACGAGGTGGAGGAGTGAGGGAGGGAGGGTCCAGAGACGCCGAAATAAAAAAAGACGGCCATCCTGAGATGTGGGGAACACAGCTGCGCTGCCCTGAAGGATTGGGACGATGCTGTCCTTTCGGGGTTGTCTTGGGGGCCCTTTTGAACCTCTCTTGGGGCGTCTTGGGGGCCTCCCAAGACGCCGTCGAGCTCACTAAGGCCGTCTGAGGGCCGTCTGAGGGCGCCTCTTCGGCCGTCTTTGGGCTCTGATGGGCCGTGCGGGGGGTGTGACCCGACGCTCGCAGTCCAAGTTGCCCCAGGAATGCTTTTCGGCATCCCGGGGCCTCTCGGCAACAGGAACAGTCCATTGATCCGCAGCACCCCCTGGCGCGCGCGGGCTCCTGCGTTGTCAAAGAGATAACGACGTCGGGCTCCAGCTTCGCCTCCCCAATCTCTCTGAGCACCGACAGTGCCCTTTGCCACTGTCCGCATCTTCCGCATGCGCTGACCGCCGCAGTGTAGTGCCCCTGGAAGAGCTTCGTACCCGACTGAGCTCCTTCGCGAAGGAGTTGCAATGCTGCGCTCCACTGCTTGCTCCGGGCACAAGTGGTGATCGACGCTTCGAGGGAGAGGGCGCTGTCTCGAGACCCTCGCTGGAAGACCAGCATCCAGTACTATGTGCAT